TGTTTCTTTCTGCCACACATTGGCCATAAAAGCACTCTCTACCATACCATAATAACAATACTTCGCTAAGACCCAGAGAGTTCATATCCAGGGAAGAAAACAAATCCAGGGACAGAACAAAGACGATACACATAGAAACACAGTTATCCCAACCACAGACACCAGCACAAAAATATAATCATGAATAGCCAAGACAATATGTCTCCACCAGAACTCAGTAACCATGCTACAACAGATCCTGAAAATGCAATACAACTGAACCACAAGACAATATCAGAAATAGATAATATGAACTTGATGAAGGATCCTAAAGAGGATATGAAAAACTCATCTCATGAAGTATTTGAAAAGATAACAAGCAGTGGAATAACATGAAGAAAAACTTCAAGGCATGCAAGTAGAAAGAAAATTACTAAGGAAAACGCAAACTGAAATAAAACTGGAAATGTATGACTTAAAAAGTCAAGCCAAAATCTCAAAGATAAGCTTCAAGAAAGCACAAAACATAGAAGAGGGAATCTCAGGTATTACATCAAAGTAAACGAAAAGGACACCTTGAGGGGAAGTATCCTTTATGATAGCACGTGTAAATTATGGATACTGATTCCATCATAAAGTGTGTATCCATGCAGAAGGCCGTGCTATCCATACCCAGGACACCAATAACCTCTGTAGCTCTGACTGACTGGGAACTCACCATGTAGCCCATCCTACTCACGGACAGAGATGGATCTCTGCTAGATCCAAACAGCATGGAGAAAAACTAAACTGGGGAATGCTGGAGTTAAATAATGCCATAAATCCATCTTCCCTGTGCTGTTTAAGGATGCAGTGCAGACGCCTGGGCTGAGGATGTAGACCTCCGTGTGAATTTGGCCATGAATGTTGGCAAGGCCCGAGGCTTCTTCAAGAAGGGAGATGTGGTCATTGTGCTGATTGGGTGGGGTCCTGGCTCTGGCTTCACCAATACCATGCATGTAGTGCCTGTGCCTTGATGGCCCTCTGGAGCCCATCTTCTAGCCCCTGTCCCATCCCCTCCCCCATCCCATCCATTAGGCCAGCAACGCTTGTAGTGCTCACTCTGGGCCAGAGTGTGGCGCTGGTGAGCTGGGACACCCGGGAAAGTTACTGTCACCGAAACATGGAATAGAGCCCAGCTGTCTACCCAAGCCAGGGGTAACAGAGGAATGCAGAATTGGAAACCCTCTAGCTTTATCACAAAGGGGCAGCAACATCTCTGTGAACTTTGCTCCTGTAGAAAGTTGCCCAGAGAACTCCCAGCCCTGGCCTGGAGTCAGGAGACAGCAAGAGTAGGGGCTTAAGGCATGGGGCCCAGGTTCCTGTGTAGATAATTACCTCTGGCCCCTAGGCCTGACTTTTCTTCCCCAACAGCTTTGGCCTCCCCCACTGCTCCTTGTGCACTTCTCAGCTGTCACTGCAGTCACACCCTGCACTCGCCAATTCCATTCTACTGTGCAGCATCTCCAGGCTGTTGCTATAGAGCCCACCTGAGTGTCAATAAAGAGCAGGTAACGCAAAATAATAATAATAATAATAATAATAATAATAACAATAATAATAATGATAATAATAAACAATGCCATAAATCAAATGGAACTAGCAGATGTCTACAGATTATTTCATCCAAACACTAAAGAACATATTTTCTGCTAGAATCTCATGGAACATTCTCCAAAATTGATAGCATACTAGGCCATAGGAAAAGTCTCAAAAAATATTAGAAAATTGAAATAAAATCCTGTATTATATTTGACCACCATGGCTTTAACTGGCTATCAACAACCGCATAAACTATACAAAATCATGAAAACTGAAAAACTCAGTACAGAATAAAAGATGGGTCAAAACCAAAATCAACTTAACACTAAAATGTTTTTGAATTGAATGAAAATGAAAACACACCATATCCAAAACTATGGGACACAATTCAGGGAATTTGAAGGGACAAGATCACAGCACTAAGTGCCTACCTAAAAAAAAAAAAAAGAGTTCTCATATTTGAACTTAGAAGAAAATATGAAATCTCTAGAAAAAGGTTAATTAATACCCCAAAAGAATAAATGGAAAGAAGTAAACTGAGGACTTAAATCACTGAACTAGAACCAACAAAAATAATTACAAAAATAAACAATAAACAGAGTTGGTTCTTGAAGCCTGAAGAAAATCAACAAGATTGAAGAATTACAAAGCCTTTTCAAAATCATCTAAGACAAAGACAGAAAATTTGGGATAACTCTAACCAAGAAAGTGAAAGACTTGTATAGTAAAAACTGGCAATTAATGGAAAATTAAAGAGGAAATCAGAAGATGCAGTAATCTCCCATGCTCATTGATCAGTAGGATTAATGTTGTAAAATGGCTATTCCACCAATAGCAATTATTAATAAAAATAATAAATCAACAAAGTTGTATATATTCTGAATTTTTTGTTTCCATACAAAGTTGGAGATTTTTATTTCAATTTCTGTGAAGAATTGTGTTAGAATTTTGATGGCGATTGTGTTGAATATATAATATACACTGGAGAAAAGACAGAATCTTCAACAAATGGTGCCAATATAACTGAATGCTTGCATGGATCAAGGACATAAATACAAGATCTGAAATTCTGAATCTGACAGAAGAGAAAGTGGAGAAATAGTTTTGAAGTCATTGGCACGGAGGAAGACTTTCTGAACAGAACACTGATAGCAGAGGCATTAAGACCAATGATTAATAAATGGGACCTCATGAAGCTGAGAGATTTCTATATGGTAAAGGACATTATCATTTGGACAAAGCAGCAGCCTATAGAGTGGGAAATTTCTCTATCAATTAGACATCTGATGGATGATTAATATCTAAAATATATAAATTAAAAGCTGAATATCAAATAAACAAATAATTCAATTCAAACTTGGGATAGAGAACTAAGCACAGAACCCTCAAGAAAATGAAACAGAAATGGCTGAGAAACCTTTAAAGACATGATCAACATCTTTAGCCACCAGGGAAAGGCAAACTAAAAGTACTTTGAGATTGCATCTTATACCAGCCAGAATGGCCAATATCAATAAAATAGAGCATGTGCTGTCAATGATGTAGAGAAAAGGTGACACTTATTTATTGCTGGTGGGAGTAAACCTTCTCTAGCCACTGTGGTTCCCAAGGAAGCTAGAAACCAATCTACTTCAAGATCTAGCTGAGCCATTCTTGTGTATATATCCCATATATGAAAATATTTGCTGATTTATGTTTAATGCTGCTCTATTCATGGTAGCTAGAAACAGGTAACAGCCTAGATGTCCACCAACTGATGAATGGATAGTGAAAATGTGATACATTTAGACAATGGAATATTATTCAACTATTAAAAATCATAAATTTTTCAGGTAAATGCATAGAGCTAGAAAACATCGTCTCAACTGAGGTAACATAGATCCTAAAAGACATCGTATGATTTCTCTCATATGTAGATGTAAGCTTTTAAGCTTTCAATATATGTGTTATTTGCACAGAGGTTGAATACCAAGTAAAGGACTGGGGGAAGGAGAGACTCCCCGAAGGAATAAAAGATAGAATATGTTGTTGTGGAGAGACAGGGATACTAGGAGAATTAAAATGGGAGGAGATGGGAGAAAAGGGTAAAGGAGGGACTATGGGGAGGACAACTAACACTAAAGGACGTTTGAGAAATTAACGTGGAAACCTACTACTGTAGAAGATTCCTAAAACACATGCTTGTTTGAAAGGGATCTAAATGGAGTTACCAAATAACTGCGTTGACAACTGGACATCTTATGCCACCAAGTAAAACCTCCAGTGCCAGAAATGGGTGATACTTTACTGAGATTTTGGCCAAAGAGGCCCCACGGAAACCCCCAAATATATTAGGTAATTTCCAATGCCAGTGATTACTTTCCATAAACTGATAGGAAGGCTCTATTGCTGAAAATAACATTCACTTTTATCATTCAATATGGAATAGCTGAGTTAGTGCCTAATTAGAAATTTTGCCTTTATTGATTAGCCGTCATGGTAGTAGAAGCTATTCTGCTTGATACCAAAAGATAAAGGTAATCAGCAATATTACCAAACTAAACCTGTGACTTACAACAGCAAGACATTCTAGTTTAATAGAGGCACAAATGTTATGGGAGCAACCAGCCACTTTGTGATTCCATGAGATAAAGCTCAGACCTACACTGACAAAGTGGCTTAGAACCCCAAACTGATATGTCACGGTCTTGGGGGATGCCTGCTATTATTATTCTGATAAAGGGACATAGCAATAAAATGTCTCTTAATAGCACCTTGCCCAATCCACATCAGAGAAGCTTCTTCTGCTAGTAGATGGGAAACCCCCAAGTGCACAATGTGTAGAAAGTGACAGACATTGGGGCATTGAGTCCTAAATGGGATGTTTTGATTGAACCCCTCCCCACAAGGCTCAGGGAGGTATGAGGAGAGAAGGCAGAAAACCTGTAGGAGCCAGAGGTGATGCATGACTCCAAGGAAAGAGTGACTTCCAGGCACAGAAGGACTGATGTACATATGAACTCATGTAGACTGTGGCAGCAAATACAAGATTTGCACAGGTTCAATCCTGTAGTCCTAGGACTGCGAGGGGAAAGTGTTGATATAATTCTTTGAAACTTTCATATATGCATATAACATATTTTGGACATATCCACCCACACCAACCCTCTCAACTTTTTTATATATATATATATATATATATATATATATATATATATATATATATATATATATATAATTCACTGGGTTCAATTTCTGCTGCCAGTATAGGGACTGGAGTTGGGCATCCACTGAGACATGGTTGACCAAATGGGTTCCAATTCTCAAACTGACTCTCTTTCCCTGAAGAGATCAACTGTCAACAGCTCCTCAGAAGCCCCGCCCCCAGAAGGGGCGTTCCTGGGGGGGGGGCAGCTGTCTACTCAAGGTCCACAGGCAGCGCATGCGCGGGTGGGCGGGGCTGTATGCAGGGGGAGTCAAGGAGACCCCTGTTAAGCTTCTGGGCTCCTTCAACATCAGGGAGCCTCAACCTCTCCCCAGCCGCCTCCAAGGAGCTGCCGCCTATTGTCGGTCACCGCCTAGGCGCGGAGCTGCTCGGACTTGGCCACCGGTGAGCCCGGGGAGCCGACCGGTGAGGGCTCAAGGGAGTTGAGGGAAGTCTGAACGTGAGGAGCGGTCGCGTGCAATGGCGTCTCTGCCTCGGTTGTCCGCGGCCATGCGCGAGATACAGGACCCGGGTCAGGCGAGAGCAACGCGTGTGGTGGACCCTTTTCCCTAGCATCCGTGGCCCGGGGTGGGTGGCGCGGCCACTGATCCCAGCCTCCATGGATGCGCATTCTCCTGCGACCATCTTCAGTGGTTCCTGCTGGGATTTTCCTCTGAAGGACAGCTGCTCGGCGTGGACATCGCAGGAAAGAGCTCCCTGGTACAGTGGATCAGTCAGGTAAGCACTGCCTGCACTGGCAGTCTTAGGGCATTTTCCCACGCTTTCTCTGTGGGAGGGGGCGTGACCAATGCTCAGAAAACTGCATTAAGATCCTCAGCTGGGGCCCTAGTGAATACCCAGCTAGTAGCTGCTTTTGGTAAATAGAACTGGCGGGATGCATGAAACGATGTAGAAAACCCTGTTTTCTTCTAGTTGAGAAACTATCTACCCCCATTCCCACCCCATCTTGCCTCTGAAAGATTGGGTCACGCTAAGTTTTCAGACCCTACTGTGAATTCAGGAATTCACAAGGAAAATTGGATTTTAGTGTTCGGTCTTTGCTTTTCTACTTCATAATGAAGCTGTTTTGAGAGTTCATTGCCAAAGTCATGTTTTTTTTTTTTGTTTTTTTTTTTTTTTTTTTTTTTTTTTTTGCTTACCACTGTCACTCCCTTATCCTCCCTATTTATTTCCAGAAGTCGCTCATTCATGTTTTTAAACCATTCCATTTTCCGGGTCTGGTGAAGTGCTCCAGCTTTTGAAAGGTCATTGTCTGTACAAGCGTCCCCATGAGCTGGGATGACTCTGATATAAATTGGTGTCATTTTGTACACCTTCATTTCTTGGGGATTTACAGACTGCATTAAGCACGTGCCTTCTTAAATTTGGGTTGCATTCATTCCCCTGCACCCGTTGACTGGAGTTATGCTGTGATATTGATTGTTTTAATTTCCGAAGAGGATCTAGCTAAAGTATCCTGTCATTCATATTGAAACAAAATAGTCATGTCATTTCATGTTCATTTCAGTTGCATCTCTTTGGCATCTGTTAAAGTTAAAGTTTTCTTTGAAAAATACTGCAAATGATATTTTGGTTTCTTTTTTTTTATTTTTCCATTCAAAAATTTCCACTTCCTCCCCTCCTCTCATTCCCCTCATGCTCCTCCACTCACTCTCCTCCCTTCCCCTCCAGTCTTTTATTTTTTTGAAAAAAATTTCTGCCTCCTCCCCGCCTCCCATTTTGCTCCCCCTCCTCCAACTCCTCTTCCCCTTCCCCCACTCCATTCCCCCTCCCTCTCGAGTCTGAAGAGCAGTCTGGATTCCCTGCCCTGTGGGAAGTCCCAGGTTCTTCCCCCTCCATCCAGGTCCAGGAAGGTGAGCATCCAAACAGGCTAGGCTCCCACAAAGACAGTTCATGCAGTAGGATCGAAACCTAGTGCCATTGTCCATGGCTTCTCATCAGCCCTCCTTGTCCTCCATGCTCAGAGAGCCTGGTTTTATCCCATGCTTATTCAGTCCCAGTCCAGCTAGCCTTGGTGAGCTCCCAATAGATCAGCCCCACTGGCACAGTGGGTGGGTGCAACCCTCGCAGTCCTGACTTCTTTGCTCATGTTCTCCCTCCTTCTGCTCCTCATTTGGACATTGGGAGCTCAGTCCGGTGCTCCAATGTGGGTCTCTGTCTCTACCTTCATCCATCGCCATATGAAGGTTCTATGGTGATATGCAAGATATTCATTAGTATGGCTATAGGATAGGGTCATTTCAAGTTCCCTCTCCTCAGTTGCCCAAGGTACTAGCTGGGGACATCACCCTGGACACCTGCAAGCCCCTCTAGAGTAAAGTCTCGTGCCAACCCTAAGATGGCTCCCTTAATTAAGATATATACTTCCCTGCTCCCATATCCACCTTTCCTTTATCGCAAACATCCCATTCCCCCAACATTCCCCCATCCTCCCCTTCTCACTTTTATCACCCCATTTCCCCTTACCCCCATCCCACCCCACACCCAAGTTCTCAGTTTTTGCCCGGCAATCTTGTCTACTTCCCATATCCAGGTGGATGACTATATGTTTTTCTTTGGGTTCACCTTCTTACTTAGCTTCTCTAGGCTCATGAATTATAGGCTCAATGTCCTTTATTTATGGCTAGAAACCAATTATGAGTGAGAATATCCCATGTTCATCCTTTTGGGTCTTGGTTACCTCACTCAGGGTAGTGTTTTCTATGTACATCCATTTGCATGCAAAATTCACGAAGTCATTGTTTTTTACCACAGCGTAGTACTCTAATATGTATATATTCCACACTCTCTTCATCTATTCTTCCATTGAAGGGCATCTAGGTTGTTTCCAGGTTCTGGCTTTAACAAATAAAGCTGCTATGAACATAGTTGAACAAATGCTTTTGTCATATGATAGGGTATCTCTTGGGTATATTCCTAAGTGTAGTATTACTGGGTCTTTGGGTAGGTTGATCCCGAATTTGGTGAGAAACCCCCACACTGCTTTCCAAAGTGGTTGCACAAGTTTGCATTCTGACCAGCAATGGATGAGTGTACCCCTTTCTCCACAACCTCTCCAGCAAAGGCTATCATTGGTGTTTTTTTATTTTATACATTCTGACAGGTGTAAGATGGTATCTCAAAGTTGTTTTGATTTGCATTTCCCTGATCACTAAGGGGGTTGAGCATGACCTTAAGTGTCTTTTGGCTTTTTGAACTTCTTCTGTTGAGAATTCTGTGTTCAGTTCAGTGCCCCATTTTTAATTGGGTTAATTAGAGTTTTAAAGTCTAGTTTCTTGAGTTCTTTGTATATTTAGGAGATCAGACCTTTGTCAGTTGCGGGGTTGGTGAAGATATTCTCCCAGTTAGTAGGTTGCCTTTTGTCTTAGTGACAGTGTCCTTTGCTTTACAGAAGCTTCTCAGTTTCAGGAGGTCCCATTCATTCAATGCTGCTGGGGTTAAACGTAGGAAGTGGTCTCCTGTGCCCATGTGTTGTAGAGTACTTCCCACTTTCTCTGAACTGAACAGAGAATTCTCAACAGAAGAAGTTCAAATGGCCAAAAGACACTTAAGGTCGTGCTCAACTTCCTTAGCAATCAGGGAAATGCAAATCAAAACAACTTTGAGATATCATCTTACACCTGTCAGAATGGCTAAAGTCAAAAACACCAAGGATAACCTTTGCTGGAGAGGCTGTGGAGGAAGGGGTACCCTCATCCATTGCTGGTGGGAATGCAATCTTTGCAACCACTGTGGAAGTCAGTGTTTTGGTTCCTCAAGAAATTCGGGATCAACCTACCCCTGGATCCAGCAATACCACTCCTGGGAATATACCCAAGAGATGCTCTATCATATGACAAAAGCATTTGTTCAACTATGTTCATAGCAGTATTATTTGTAATAGCCAGAACCTGGAAACAACCTAGATGCCCTTCAATGGAAGAATGGATGAAGAAAGTATGGAATATATACACACTAGAGTACTACGCTGCGGTAAAAAACAATGACTTCGTGAATTTTGCATGCAAATGGATGTACATAGAAAACACTACCCTGAGTGAGGTAACCCAGACCCAAAAAGATGAACATGGGATGTACTCGTTCATAATTGGTTTCTAGCCATAAATAAGGGCCACGGAGTCTACAATAAGTGAACCTAAAGAAGCTAAGTAAGAAGGTGAACCCAAGGAAAAACATATAGTTATCCTCTTGGCTAAGGGAAGTAGACCAAATTGCGGGGGAGAAAATTGGGATCTTGGGGGTGGGGTGGGATGGGGGTAAGGGGAGATGGGGAGAGAAAAGGTAGAAGTGAAGCAGGGGGGACTTGGGGAAACAGGAGAATTGGGATAAAGGAGGGGTGGATAGGGGAGCACGGAACCACAATTCTTAGTTAAGGGAGCCACTTTAGGGTGGGCAGAGCACTGTTACTAATCCTGCTTTGGTGTCTTTCGTGCAGTGTGGAGAGCATCACACTCAGCCTGAGGCCTTTCATCATGGTGGATCCACTATTTCAGCTTTCCTCTGCCAATGGATCATCAAACTTTTGCCAGTAGCCTGATGAGTGCATTCTCTAAGTGCACCTGGGACAGTTTTCTACATCTAAGCCTATGGCTTCTATGACTGTACTCTTATACCAAATCCTACACTGTAGCCTGCCCTGAAGGTTCATCTGTGTGTGTTTTCAAACACTTGTACTTTGGGAACATGATGTTTTCTCATTTACATTTATCCTAACATGACTTCTCAGGAATATTTAATTGCTCATATTGATGAATAGAGTGATTTTAGGGAAGGAACAATAAGTTTCTGGGCACTATTTGAAAAGCATAGCTCATTTCTCAAAAAGAAAGTACTATGGGCTTTCCAATCAAGCTAAGGGAATGCTATCTTTAGAATGAAGAATTACTGAATATCTTCTCCTGTGTTCCATGAGAGGCTCCTGGAAAGGGAACCTGGGCTTCTGGTCATTTCAGGAAAGCTAATTTACACGGTGGCAAAGGCTGTTCCCCATGACATCAGCAGTTTCTTCTCTGCACAATCTATTGTATCCTGGAAAGCTCCTGGAATCCCATGATGCCACCAGTGATGTTGCAATACCAGCTGCCCTTAGGCCATTCCTTCAGTGCCTGTAGGGTACACAATTAGAGATGTTGTCAAGACTGAGGAGTCTACTTTGGAGAGAGAATGGTGATCATCATCCAGAAAGAAGAGAGTTGCAGAAGAGTAAACAAGATCAAACGAATGGCTCTGGATAGAAACAGTGAGTCCTGGGCAGGAGATGTTGAGTTTCCTGGAGGAGGTGGGCCTTCCAGTAATGGGGCAGAGGAGCTAGAGACTCTGAGATGCAAATGGGCTCTCCTGTTTATCATAACTACTAAAAGTCAAGGATTCCAGAACATTAGTTTGTCCATTCCCTAATCTAGGAGCTGACCATGCCAAAACTGTTATGTGGGAGTATCTAGCTTCTACATTTACTGGGGTTTGGGGACAGAAGGAGAACAAACAGCAGGAGGCAGGGAGGCACTAATGTGTCCCCACCTTAGGACATGCCTTACTGCACCTCACACTCAGCAGCTTCCTTTAGGTTCAGTGGCTCTCTGACACTAGTCACATGGAGAGAAAAGTGCTTCTGGCTAAGGCATTGTGTCCTCAGACTGTACAGCAGAATTCCTCTGACCACCTCTCCCTGAGAGTGGCCCACTTAGGGTTCTGATCAGCAGTTGAGGGGGGCAGCAAATTCTCTAGCGTAGCCAAACAACTCTCAGAGGCATGGGACTACGGCAGAGATCGACTCTTTGATGCCAACTTCCGTGTTCTGGACTGTCAGTGGGGTGACTTAGTGAGTCTACTGATCATGTTCTGCTCCTGCATGACTTTTCATTTCACAACCCTTCCAGGCAGGAGATCTGGGCTCCTCACAGTACCTGTGAGGTTGTGCACTCTGTTATTCCATTTTTTTTTTTCTGAAACCACAGTCAGGGCCCTGGGCCATGTTGCATCCTGTCCTGCTATGAATAAGCTTGAAGAGGTGGTCTCTGTTTTCACCTGAAACATGTGTAGGGAAGCAGAGAAAATCCCTGGCTTCTTATGTAGCCACATCTCTACATAGTAATGGGAAAGATTACATTCACAGAGGGTCCAACTCAACCGGGCCAAAAAATTTGGTTTGTCACTTGGTTCCAAACTTGATCTTTCTGTTTGGGCCTCAGGGTGGTCTGTCTGTCCTCTATGCCTTGTCCTGTGCAGTTTCACTTGTGTTCTGTCTAACCACAGATGCTGCTATGGTGCCAAAATCCCACCCAGTGCTCCTCACCAAGAAGCAGATGAAGCAGGAAGTGGAGAGGCTGACCACAGAACTGCAGCTGATCACCAGCCAAAGAAATGAGCTGCTAGATCGCCCAACCTTCATCAGTGAAGATACCATGGAAAATAGGTGTTCATTGTTTCAGTCTTCATGGGACCTTCAGCAATGTCACCCTAACCTTTTTCCTTTAAGGTTTTGGGTTCTCAGTACCGGACCTCCAGTGTGACCCATGTCTTAAATTCTTCTCAAGAGAGGCAGACCTGAAGCTTGAGGGGAGGGAGATGGTGACTCTAGCTAGTCTTCTTTCTCTAAATGAAAACCAGAGCCTGTGGTCTGAGTCACACAACTAAGGGATTGATATAGTACTATGCACTTCCTCGATCCCTGAGTGCATTTGGGAAGGACCTGACAGGTGGTGGCTTGGGTGGATACTAGCTGCTGTGAGTTTGTGTGAGTCTTTGAACTTGCCTGAAAGCTGATTGTGTACTGGAAGCTCCTGGTAGAGGCTGGAGAGACCCGTTCCCACTTTGTCCATCTGTGTGCATAACTATAAGTCCTGGGGCTCATCACAGTTTCTTTCTGGCTTTGTGTCTCATACTCTTAGACAATAATGCTCCGTGAATAATTTCTTTAGCATGCAAACATGGTTCTCTCTCTCTCTCTCTCTCTCTCTTTCTCTCTCTCTCACTCTCTCTGTCTGTCTTCCTTTTTTCCCCTCTCTGCTTCCTCTCCCTAATGTGTTTGTGATTTTATTTGTTTGTTTGTGTGCACGCGCACGCACATGCATTTTCAGGTTTTTGTGTCTATAGAGACTCTGGGATTCAGGGATCTGTAAGGGACATGATGATTTGCCTGCACCGATTTCCTGGTGTTGCTAGTGCTGAGATCAGAAAACCCCACTTTAAGCAGCATAGCTCTTGTCCTACATACTCCCCTTCATGACCCCTAGGCATCCCTTGTGGGAGTTCATATCACTATCCTGTGTAATAGTCACAGGGGACCTAGAATCGCTGTTCCGAAGTGGGAAAAATGTCATTGTAATATTGGTGTGGCAAGACGTGTAGCATAAATCCCGGTAACATAGAGAGCTACACTGAGTCTCTAAGCATACTCAGAGAACACATGCAACCATGGCATCCTCCATCTGTGAAGCCAGCTGATCTAGTGCCAAGATAACAAGTTTAAAAGCACCAGGAGGTCCCTGTACATAGGATGCAGAATGTGGCATTCACTGGACTGTGGTAGACCTGGATACAAAATGAGTTCTCATGATCCTTGAAGCCTCCGTTCACAAGGTTCTTTCCTCCTGTTTCTAGGCCCTACCACAAGCCATATCCTTTCTATGAAAAGCTGAATTGGAGCATGTACAGGTCATGTCAGAACTAAGGACCTTGGAAGTTGATTACACTGAGACCTCAGAGAAGTTCAGTGAGCTGACCAAGGAGACAGTTTTCTATCAGTAAGTGCCCATCTTGGCATGGACCCCAAAAGTTGTGAAATGGCCATCATTGCCTTCATTTTTCTCTGGATTCAGCGTCCGCAACTCCGGGTCTAGCCTTTCCGCTTCTTAGCAAGCAGCTCTAGCATGCATCTCTTGAACTTTTGTCTCTTGGACCTAATATTCCTACATGTGAAAGAGATTCTTAACTGGAGGCAGGGGTTCCTGGAGGCAGGGGTGGCAGTAGAATGCTGGCAGGATCTTACTATGCAGAGCATCTCTAGCAGTCTGCACAGCTGGCTCCTAGGGGAGCTGACTCAACTGGAGAAGTTGCACATGCTGAGGCAGGAGAAAAAGAAACTGCTGGATAACTAGGTGACTGGCCTCCTACTGAAGCACCACTTGGAGGACTTGAATGTGATCTGTGAGGACCGAGAGGAAGAGACTAGTGGCCTCAAGACCCAGCAACAAGATGTAGGTGCAGACAAATAAATCAGGGTAAAGTTGGGCACCTTTTGCCCATTTGACTGCCTCTCTACTTATTTAACCACCTGTGCTTTCACCCATCACCTTACTTATCCATGTTCCCATCCAGCCACCCACCTCATGCTACCTGGGGTGTTCATTTCAGTGTTCATGCACAAGTACTTCTGGGGCGTTAGCCTCTCTTGAGAAACTGAATTATTGGCAAGCCATCCCTGAGTCTCTGTTTGGAGTTGCAGTCCAGTGAAGGAGATGGGTCAATAACATATAATACACCCACATGTCATTATGATAGGTAGCATTCTGTGCACAGAGCTTTGAGTAAGTGAGTTCCTGGTCCTGGGGCTCATTCACTCAGCAGGGCTCTTGTGAGATCACACATGGGCAGCAGTTTGCAAGGAGGAAATCCCCATGCACATGCCAAATGAGTGCTTCTCGCAGTCATGGATGTGGTTGACATGCGGCCCTCTCCTTTCTTCCTGCATCCCAATATTTTCTCTTCCCATTGCCCAGCTCTTGGTTTACAGTAATAGAAATTGAATAGCAGTTTGTCAGCCTCTTTTCTGTGAGTGGTGCTGGACAGTTCTGCCATCCAGCTGTATATAGTCTGGGGTTATTGGATGATCTGCTGTGGGCTTTTGACAAGCTGGTGGTGGATGGGGTGAGACTTGGGCTTTAGGAGGAGAATTTTCTAACTAGTTCAACACAGTCTGGTCAAGATTATCATATTTTTTTTTTTTACTATTTTCCCAATTGTATTACACTGACTTTTATTAATTCTTTTTTTTAATTGCGAAAAGAAGAAAAAAAACATAAACAAAAAATAAGTTTCCACCTCCTCCCAGCCTCCCATTTCCCATCCCCTCCTCCCACCCTTCTCCCCCTCCTCGCACCCTTCTCCCTCTCCTCCTACCCTTCTCCCCCTCCCCCCACTCCTCTCCCCCTCCCTCTCCAGTCCACAGAGCAGTCCGGGTTCCCTGCCCTGTGTTAAGTCCTAGGTCCACCCCCCTCCGTCCATATCTAGGAAGGTGAACATCCAAACTGGCTAGGCTCCCACAACGCCAGCACATTAAGTAGGATCAAAACCCCCTGCCATTGTCCTTGGTGTCTCATCAGCCCTCATTGTTCGCCATGTTCAGAGAGTCCGGTTTTATCCCATGCTTTTTCGGTCACAGTCCAGCTGGCCTTGGTGAGCTCCCTGTAGATCAGCTCCACTGTCTCAGTGGGTGGATGCACGCCTCGTGGTCCCGAATTCTTTGCTCATGTTCTCCCTCCTTCTGCTCCTCCTTGGGACCTTGGGAGCTCAGTCCAGTGCTCCTGTGTAGGTCTCTGTCTCTATCTCTATCCATCACCAGATGAAGATTCTATGATGATATGCAAGATATTCGTCAGTATTGCTCTAGGATAGGGTCATTTCAGGTTCCCAATCCTCAGCTGCCCAAGGAACTAACTGGGAACCTCATCTTGGGCACTAGGGAGCCCCTCTAGGGTCAAGTCTCTTGCCCACCCTAAAGTGGCTCCCTTAACTAAGAATTGTGGTTCCGTGCTCCCCTATCCACCTTTCCTTTATCCCAATTCTCCTGTTTCCCAGGTCCCCCCTCCTTCCCTTCTACCTTTTCTCTCCCCATCTCCCCTTACCCCCATCCCACCCCCCCCCAAGATCCCATTTTCTCCCCGGAAATTTGGTCTACTTCCCTTAGCCAAGAGGACAACTATATGTTTTTCCTTGTGTTCACCTTCTTACTTAGCTTCTTTAGGTTCACCTATTGTAGACTCCGTGGTCCTTATTTATGGCTAGAAACCAATTATGAGTGAGTACATCCCATATTCATCTTTTTGGGTCTGGGACACCTCACTCAGGATAGTGTTTTCTATTTCCATCCATTTGCATGCAAAATTCGAGAAGTCATTGTTTTTTACTGCAGCGTAGTACTCTAGCGTGTATATATTCCATACTTTCTTCATCCATTCTTCCACTGAAGGGCATCTAGGTTGTTTCCAGGTTCTGGCTATTACAAATAATACTGCTATGAACATAGTTGAACAAATGCTTTTGTCATATGATAGGGCATCTCTTGGGTATATTCCCAAGAGTGGTATTGCTGGGTCCAGGGGTAAGTTGATCCCGAATTTCCTGAGAAACCGAAACACTGACTTCTACAGTGGTTGCACAAGATTGCAAGGAATATCATATTTTTAACAATAGTATTTCTCCCCAGGGAATTATGTGTGAGTTGTGAGATTCTTTTGAAAGGTTGGGTGTGGTTAGTCTGAACTGAAAATGTGTGTTGTTGGAGGCTGCTTGTTCATTTCCCAACTGCCCTGACTCAAAACAGCCACACAGAATCTATATTATTTGCAATACTGTTTGGCCAATAGCTTAAGTATATTTCTGACTAACTTTTATATCTTAATTATCCCATTTCTATTAATTTGTGTATCACCACATGGCTTTGGCTTACCAGCAAGTTGCCAGTGCATTTGACTCCTGTGGGGGGCTACATGATTTTTCTCTGCCTCTGCCTATTCTCTCTCTTTCTCTCTTTCTGCTGGGCTTTACTCTGTTAAGCCATTCAGCGAAAATAGCTTCTTTGTTAACCAATGGCAATAAAACAGATTAACAGCATACAGAAGGGAATCCCACATTACCTCCCCATTTCTGTTCAATTAAAAAGGAAGGTTTTAACTTTAACATAGCAAGATTGCATACAACAAAACAGTTTTCAAGACTTATAGTTACAATATTTATATCTACTTTCTCTTTTATTATAACTAATGAACACTATAATTGTAACTACTTATTCTTCAATTCCTTCAAAGACATCAAAGAGTTCAGAAGGATATATTACATAAGTAAGCAGGAAGTGCATTGTAAGCAACTTCTGAAATTCCAGAATTGACAGAGACATCTCGTTGCCTGGACAGTCATGAAAATTTCTTCTGTAACTTTGAGGCATACCATTTTCAGACCACAGGCACATAGTATCTGGTAGACTTTTCCATGAAGCAGGAAATTTCCAAGACAGTTCCACGTATATTGGTAGTTTGTCAGTCACGGTCTTCTGTATCCTGCAGAATGTCTGGCAGACTTGTTCATGACACAGGCACCCAGAAAGACCATCTTACATTCTTCAGACAACTTCAGTAGTCATTTTTCTTTGGGTTCTGCAAGTCCAGTCAGGCAATTCAGGCAAGAGCAGTTTCTTGCCCTCATGATTAACAAACTCCATGAGGAGACTCTTTGATGTCCATCATCCTCTTAAAGTAGATTGGTGCTGCCAAGAGCAGATGTGTCATGAAAAGTTTTAAGTTTTTAAAACATTTTAAATGCCATATTCTGTTAGTCTTTGAAAGGTTTGAAGATTATCTATCTAACTGAAATATATCTCTATATATCTAGATAGCCTAACTAACATGATGACATTCTTGATCATTGAAGATGACTATTATTCGCCTATATTTCTTAATTATACACTACATTTTTAAATGAGCTGCACAAACACAACACTTTAATCAAGAGCATAAATGTACAAATAACAAAACTGACCTAAAATTTGTATCATTGAACAAAGATCTATACCAATGCAAAGTACCCGTCTCTGTAGAGTATCCCCCTATAAATGTAAACACCTTTATAAACAATCATTTAGGGAATTTGGATGTAGTTCTCTCCACTACTTCCTGCTTTTTGTTGGGTGAAGTAATTTTGAAGGGTGTTCACAGTAACTTTTTGGGGGATCTTGGTCCACCAAACCACATTAGTCTGGAAAGAATCCACAAGTTCTCATCCTCTGTGGAAACAAAAGAATCTCTTTTCCAAGACAACAAATCTTGAGACCCAAGTTTGAAGTCAAGATACCTTTAAAATATATATGTTGGTTTACCTTAGCAGTCTGTACAATGAAATAGCTCTGTGTAGTTAGCTCATTCACAGTCAAAAATTCAGAGAAAACACAGTAATATACATAATCCAAAATCTCTGTGTATATTCTATCTTTATGTGGCTTATTTTTATTACTCCTTTTATCTATGACTCTCTGTAGTCTATCTCCTTAAAAGCTTTTTATAACCATTTATTTCCTTTTGTAACTGAATATATTTTTTATTCCAACACTGTGACCCATTTAGAGTTCATTTTCATCTGAATTTGTCTTTATTGTGTATATGTAATCCTTTTCTTAAAATGCAAAGTGGTGTGTCTAGCCCTAAGGCTGCTTTGCCTTTTGGCTCCACCTAATCCAAATGGCAGAGATCCATTCAGTGCATCCGAGACTACCGGGTGGGAGCCATGCTCACAGCCTCAACTCTAGTAACCTGTTGGCCCATGTAGCCACCAAATAACTTGCAGCACACTGCTCACAAACCCTGTTCAAGTGCTTGGCCTCCTGAAAGGGCCAGAGATCATGCTGACAACACACACCAGGAAGCCTCCTTTCAGAAACCCCAGTATTTTTGCTACTACCAAATAAAGAAAACCTCTTATAAAGGAATCACAGTGCTCTCACTCCCCTCCAACAAACACAGCCCATCCAAAAAATGCCAGCTACCAAGAAGCCATTCTTATCTCTTTTCCTTTGTGTCTAGAATTCATTTTCAAGCTTCTCAGGTTTTACAAGGATGTAATCAGCCCCACATTGGCACAGCAGTCTGTTGTTGGAGGCTGCTTGTTCATTTTCAGACTGCCCAGACTTGAATTAATCACACAGAAACTATATTATTTGCAATACTATTTGGCCAATAGCATAAGTGTATTTTTGGTTAAATCTTAAATTAACCTATTTCTATTAATCTCAGAATTGCCATGGTGATGTAGCTTTCTGGTAAGTAAGGTTCTGGTATGTCTGTTCTGGGGACATCTAAATATCTTTTCCTTGACTCCACCCACCTCCTTTCTGTATATAGCTCATCAAGCCTGGCTTTGCACTGTTAAGCTATTGACAGAAAACATCTTCTTTATTAACCAATGGCAATAAAATATATTAAAAGCATACAGAGGGGAATCCCACATTAGATGTCCTCTTCTGCCATGATATTTCTTTCTATTATCTTTCTTTTTTCCTCCTTTCCTACCTCCATATCTCTCTCTCTCTCTCTCTCTCTCTCTCTCTCTCTCCCTTTGTGTGTATGTGTGTGTGTGATTGTGTGTTGCATGGTGATAGTAGTAGTAGTATAAGTATTTAGGTGATCTTGTGTGTCATGCATGTGTGCGATTGGCTAAAGGAGACTACTCTGTTTCTGATCAGTCTCTAAATTGAATCTGGGTTTCTAACTCTCCTGGGTGCTTTTACTGTTTTGTCTACCTAGCTGGCCAGCAAGCTATTTGGATCTTTCGTATGTGCCTAGAGATGTATGATGGTCTGTGACCCTCCACTAACAACACAGTCTTCTAATGAACTGGAGCTCAAGAGATTGGAGGAAAGTCTTCAGTTGCTGTGGAGGCAGAAGGAAATGCCCATGCAGGAAAAGGACTTGGCAGAAAAGCTACAGCATCACTTTGAATTCTCCCAGCTGAGGTAGGAACCCAGAATTGGGGAGGAAGTAGAGCCCAGAGGGTCCCTTTTACCTGGGATCTCTGTCTTTTATAGTCTTCTGCTCACATGTATGGTTTCCAACTAGAAACAGGGAAAAAATACCTATGAGAATTGTCCTGGTCCAATCAACAAGAAATTCTGTCCAGAAAACAATATATTTGATACTCAGTGTGTCTCCAGAATTGAGTCTCCCTTCCTCCCTTCTGAACTCTCTATGTTCTGAGCAGAAGTTTCTTGAACTGGCAGTGATCTGCCTGCTTCAGCTCCAAAGTAATGGAATTGAAATGTATGTACCACCACACCTGGCTGAAATAACACTTTTATTTAGGAACATCCCTTGTGGAGACGAGAATTCTACCTTTGAACTTTGTTTTCTGCAATATTACCCATTTCCTGTGCAAAGTGTTCTCTGAATAGAATAGGTTAAGAACTTTCCAGGATGACACAGGCAGATGCCTCAGCTGCAGGTAAGACCAGAACCTTCTCAGAGTATGCTGTTACAGATTCCGAAAGAGAGCCAGGATGGAGGTTACCAGCTCTAGTCCTAAGGAAATCGTAAATTTCTGCTTGGTTCCAGATCCCTGGCAGGACCAGGGTTATCAGGCACACATCTCAGGAAATGCTGCTCTAGCATGAGAGTCTCTATCCTGCATGATGTTCATGTTCAGTTGTTTCCTGGACATGAGAACTCAGCTAGCCTCATGACCTTGTTTAGCTTCCTAGATGGCAAGGCTTTATTATGGCTATCAATAAAATGATATAGTTGATCAGTAACTCATCATCAATAACAATTGTATTGCTCATATACTCTTGGACGTGGTATTAATAACCTGTTGCTATTTACAAAATGATTTTTCTGAACTTTAGGAGAATGTCCTATTCATTCAAGTAGAAAGACCACTATACAGTGTTTAAAATATGACATATTTAGGACTGAAAAAATGCTAGGCCTAGCTACTATGTGATCCTTTTCCTTTGAGGATAAAAAGAATGATATCACTTCAAAGACCAATGTTGATTGTTCAGGCCACGTACGGTGGTGGAAGGTGATAGCTAGACAGTTGAAATGCCATGTCTTCTCACGTGTGTTCTAATTGCTTTCATCTCCCACCACCTAGCTAGCTTAACCCCCAAAATAACCACACATATATGTATTAATTAAATTACTGCCTGGCCCATTATTTTTAGCCTCTTATTGGCTAACTCTAACATCTTGATCTAACCCATTTCTATTAATCTGCGTTCACCACGAGGTCATGGCTTACCTGGAAAGATTTAGCATGTCTGACCTGGAGGCTCCATGGCAGCTCTCCCTCCCTGCCTTTTTTTTCCCAGCATTCAGTTCTCTTTGGCCTGCCTATCTAAGGCTGCCCTATCCACAGGCCAAAGCAGCTTCTTTATTCAACCAATGAAAGCAAAACATAGACAGAAGAACCTCCTATACCATTTCCCCTTTCTCTGTTTAAACAAAAAAGAAAGGCTTTCTTTTTAACATAGTAAAATTACATATGACAAAACAGTTATCAAGCATGAATTACAATTACAATATTTAGATCTATTTTATCTTTTATAAAACAAAGAAAAACGATAACTATAACTATCTATTCTTCAACTCCATCAAAGACTCCAGAAGGATATAATATTACTTAAGTAAACAAGAAGTAAGCAACTTCTAAAACTCTGGAAATGACAGAAACATCTCGCTTCGTGGAATGTCACCCAAAGTTTTTCTGTATCATTGGAACATCCATCTTTGGCCTTGAGGTGTATAGTATCCATCAGACTTTTCTATGAAGCGGGAAATTTCAAAGACAGTTCAGTCACTTTCTTTTATATCTGCAGAATATCTTATAGACTCTTTCATGAAGCAGAAACCCCGAAGGACCATCTCAACTTTAGGCAAGTTTAACAGTCCTCTCTCTCTCTATTGGTTCTTAATTTTTTATTGAGAAAAAGAGAAAAAAAACCTTTCTGCCTCCTCCCAGCCTCCCATTGCCCTCCCCCTCCTCCCAACCTTCTCCCCCTACCCGCCTCCTCTCCCCCTCCCTCTCCAGTCCAAAGAGCAGTCAGGGTTCCCTGCCCTGTGGAAAGTCCAAGGTCCTCCCGGCTCCGTCCATGTCTAGGAAGGTGAACATCCAAACTGGCTAGGCTCCCACAGCCAGACCATGAAGTAGGATCAAAACCCAGTGCCATTGTCCTTGGCTTCTATCATCCCTCATTGTTCGCCATGTTCAGAGAGTCCGGTTTTATCCCATGCTTTTTCAGTCCCAGTCCAGCTGGCCTTGGTGAACTCCCAATAGCTCAGCCCCACTGTCTCAGTGGGTGGGTGCACCCCTCGTGGTCCTGACTTCCTTGCTCATGTTCTCCCTCCTTCTGCTCCTCATTGGGACCTTGGGAGCTCAGTCCGGTGCTCCAGTGTGGGTCTCTGTCTCTATCTCCATCCATCGCCAGATGAAGGTGCTATGGTGATATGCAAGATATTCGTCAGTATTGCTATAGGATAAGGTCATTTCAGGTTCCCTATCCTCAGCTGCCCAAGGAACTAACTGGGGACATCGCCTTGGGCTCCTGAGAGCCACTCTAGGTTTAAGTCTCTTGCCAACCCTAACGTGGCTCCCTTAACTAAGATTTGTGCTTCCCTGCTCCCCTATCCAACCTTCCTTTATCACAATCATCCTGTTTCCCCAAGTTTCCCCCATCCTCCCCTTCTCACTTTTCTCTCCCCATCTCCCCTTACCCCCATCCCCCCCACCCCCAAGATCCCAATTTTTTCCCAGGCAATTTTCTCTACTTCCCATAGCCAGGAGGATAACTATATGTTTTTCTTTGGGTTCACCATCTTATTTACCTTCTTTAGTATCACCAATTATAGACTCCGTGACCTTTATTTATGGCTAGAAACCAATTATGACTGAGTACATCCCATGTTCATCTTTTTGGGTCTGGGTTACCTCACTCAGGATAGTGTTTTCTATTTCCATCCATTTGCATGCAAAATTCGAGAAGTCATTGTTTTTTACCGCAGCGTAGTACTCTAATGTGTATATATTCCACACTTTCTTCATCCATTCTTCCATTGAAGGGCATCTAGGTTGTATCCAGGTTATGGCTATTACAAATAATACTGCTATGACCATAGTTGAACAAATGCTTTTGTCATATGATAGGGCATCTCTTGGGTATATTCCCAAGAGTGGTATTGCTGGGTAAGGGATAGGTTGATCCCGATTTTCCTGAGAAACTGCCACACTGATTTCCAAAGTGGTTACACAAGTTTGCATTCCCACCAGCAATGGATGAGTGTAACTCTTCCTCCACAACCTCTCCAGCAAAGGCTATCATTGGTGTTTTTTATTTTAGCCATTCTGACAGGTGTAAGATGATATCTCAATGTTGCTTTTATTTGCATTTCCCTGATTGCTAAGGAGGTTGAGCATGACCTTAAGTGTCTTTTGGCGATTTGAACTTCTTCTGTTGAGAATTCTCTGTTCAGTTCAGTGCCCCATTTTTAATTGGGTTAATTAGAGTTTTAAAGTCTAGTTTCTTGAGTTCTTTATATATTTTGGAGATCAGACCTTTGTCTGTTGCAGGGTTGGTGAAGATCTTCTTTCAGTCAGTAGGTTGCCTTTTTGTCATAGTGACAGTGCCCTTTGCTTTACAGAAGCTTCTCAGTTTTAGTAGGTCCCATTTATTCAATGTTGCCCTTAATGTCTGTGCCGCTGGACTTATACATAGGAAGCGATCTACTGTGCCCATCTGTTGTAGGGTCCTTCCCACTTTCTCTTCTATCAGGCTCAGTGTATTCGGACTGATATTGAGGTCTTTGATCCATTTTGACTTGAGTTTTGTGTATGATGGGTATATTTTCATTCTTCTACAGGTTGACATCCAGGTGTGCCAGCACGATTTGTTGAAGATGCTTTCTTTCTTCCATTGTATACTTTTAGCTCCTTTATCGAATATGAGGTGTTCATAGGTTTGTGGGTTAAAATCAGGGTCTTCTATACGATTCCATTGGTCGACTTCTCTGTTTTTATGCCAATACCAAGGTGTTTTCATTACTGTAACTCTGTAATAGAGTTTGAAGTCAGGGATGGTAATGCCTCCAGAAGTTCCTTTATTGTATAAGATTGTTTTGGCTATCCTGGGTTGTTTGTTTTTCCATATAAAGTTGATTATTGTCCTCTCAAGATCAGTGAAGAACTTTGATGGGACCTTGATGGGCATTGTATTCAATCTATAAATTGCCTTTGGTAGAATTGCCATTTTTACTATGTTGATCCTCCCAATCCAAGAGCAAGGGAGATCCTTCCATTTTCTGGTATCCTCTTCAATTTCTTTCTCCAATGCCTTAAAGTTCTTGTCAAATAGATCTTTCACTTCCTTGGTTAGATTTACCCCAAGATATTTTATGCTGTTTGTGGCTATCGTGAATGGTGAAGTTTCTCTGATTTCCCTCTCTGCTTCCATATCCTTTGTGTATAAGAGGGCAACTGATTTTTTGGAGTTGATCTTGTATCCTGCCACATTACTAAAGGTGTTTATCAGCTGTAAGAGTTCTTTGGTGGAGTTTTTGGGGTCGCTTATGTACACTATCATATCATCTGCAAATAATCAAAGTTTAACTTCTTCCTTTCCAATTCAAATCTCCTTAATTCCCTTTTGTTGTCTTATTGCTATTGCTAGAACTTCAAGAACTATATTGAAGAGGTATGGAGAGAGTGAACAGCCTTGTCGTGTTCCTGAGTTAAGCGGGATGGCTTTGAGTTTCTCTCCGTTTAATTTGATGTTAGCTGTCGGCTTGCTGTAAATAGCTTTTATTATTTTTAGGTATGACCTTTGTATCCCTAATCTCTCCAAGACCTTTATCATAAAGGGGTGTTGAATTTTGTCGAATGCTTTTTCAGCATCTAATGAAAGGATCATATGGTTTTTTTTCTTTCAGTTTATTTATATGATGCATTACATTGATAGATTTTTGT